ATGGGTTCAATCAGGGATGAGATTGTGAAGCAGAGGTTCTGGGAATGTAACGTCGTTTGCGAGGGAGAGTGTGGAATGTGACAGGGACAGAACGGAGTTTCTGAGTAAGAGTGTGGGGCGTGATGGTAGGGATGCTACTGTGAAGTCAAAAGTGACTTTGCAAGATTTGCAAAGTTCTATGTCTGAGATGGGCATCACTGTTCATACTGTACATTGAAATTATCCTAATCCTTACACAAAGCTGGCCTGTATGGGTGAGTGGCAAGAAATACAGCAAGTCCCTCCATTCATTTCCTAAATGGCTTCATCCAGTTGTTGAGGTAAAGAAATACATTTAAAAATACTTTTCATAAAATAAACATTTTATGATATTTATCTCAAATCTTACATGAACATATTTAATTTGGGTGGAAGATCACTGTGACAGAGATACTCTTCATCCTGGTATACAGCACAATACCTACAGTACTGTATGTCTGATATTATTGGCAGGAGGTGAATATTTCTGTAAGGCACTGTAGCTCTTCTTAAAATAGGCAGTGAAGCCATTACTTAACAGGGAGCTATCCCTCTTTCTGTTTAATATTTAAATGCTCTAGCTGTTGAAACATTTGGCAAAATGTACAGTGTATTTACAGTACTAAACTCATTCATCACCCAGATTAAATACGGCATTTAAGTTACAGTAAGTAAGAAATCTTACTTGCAAAATGCAGATATTAGTGATAGGGCATACTACATTTTCAGACTCTAAACAGGAGAATATATTACTTGAGTATATTTATTTTCTATTACTTACTTATTTCTATTATTTCGTTCGGTACTGTTACCTAAGCTATCAACAGAAATAACAGAGGCAATCAAGAACGTAATTCCTTCTCAAAGATTCAGAATGCAAAAAAGATGAACTGCAAAAAATCCTAAGAAAAGTATTTCTTTTTGTTATCTAAAATATTTGTGTTGTGTGTTTTTTTTTCCATTTAGTCCACACCACTTTTGTGGAAAGTCACTGTAATCAAAGTTCACCACAAGGATTCACTCCTTGTCATCACTCCATTTTCAAATGTATAGAACAGAGCTTCCCTTTATGATAGCATCATCTCAAAACCACCTGCTGGCAGAGATGCCATACTGTACAATATCAGACTTCAAAGATGTAATGCATTGTTATACCGTTGGCAGATCTAGATCAGAAATCATATCTTTGTATTTACCTTTACTATCACATATGAACTGTGACTTCACATGAATCTGCTTATTTTGTCAATTCCCACAGAGAAAAAAACAAACAAGTGGGACTTACAGACGAGATAAAGTATTTGAAAATAATCACATTTTTAAGTAGTTCACAGGGAATGTCCACAGCTACTTTTGCTGATGCTATCAAATGTATACTTTTAGAATCACCTCACTATATTGAGCATCCAAGTTTAATCTCATGAAAATAAAAAAATACCTTCTGATTACAATACAGTAGTTCTATATTTGGACTGCTCTTGTAACAAACATATTATTAAGAAATTGTTCAAAAAAACAATAAAAATAAATTCAATCATTCATTCTTCAAATCCCACGTAATTGTCAAAAGCTCTCTGTTTCCATGAGAATGCAGACATTATTGTCACTTTAAATCCAAGGAATAGCATAACACATATTGTCACATAATCTTAGAACATACACTGTAAGCACACAACTTCATTTAAAATAATTTCTGAGGCCAATCTTATTTTTTTATTTTAAAAACACTTATAAAAATGATAAGATCATGTTCTTATACTAGCTTTGATGTTCAAGCCAATGGTTTCTGTTAAGAGCTTGTTCTGAACTGTTCATCCTTTTAAGATGTAATTTAATTTTATTTTAATTTTATTAACCGAGCCTTCATTTTAAGGAATTACTTATCCAGAGAGAATAATTTAAAGGCCATAGCATTTTTCTTTAAATTACCAAACTAGTTTTGTTTTTTCATGGTGACAGTCACACGAATTGAGAATCATATAATTGAAAAAGCAGAACTGTATCAGAAATGATAAAGACTCAAAGCATTACAGCACATGACCTAACCCTGCATTTGAAATATTAAATATGAAAAAAATTGAAATATTTGGTAAAAATGTGCTTATTTATAGTTTCCATGTTTTGTTTTTCTCAAGTGCCAACCTAAAACATGGGTGAGATACAATATATTATAACATCTAAGAAAACATAAGACAGGACTAAATACTTTAGGAAATTGTGGGTGATGTTACTTACAGAACCAAATCCATGAAAATATGACTTGTTTCGTTTAGTCTTGTGAAACAACAAAGTTCATTTTCCCCCGAGGGTAATTTGTTTTAAGGCACCGTTTAATTCAACAATTCAACAGCAAGGAAGACAAACATTACCAACAGAGAGGATGGTGCACTGGTGTTACAGGAGACAAGAGAGTTAATGTCCCATGTTTTAAGGATTTGTCATTCAAGATACATTTCTGAAACTCCAGCTGACAAATCTAGTATTTCACAAGACAACATTATCTCTAATAATATCCAACAGCATTGACTTTATCATCCCTTTTGGAAATGCCAGCTTGATTAACCCAGACATATCATACCTGTAAGCAAGCTGGAGCTCTGCCATGCGGTTTATTCACATCAACAGCAACCAACTGCCATCCTCCTGCAGAGTCTTCATGAAACATCTACATCCAAGAGATGGCATGGGGGAGCAGGAAGAAGAAAAAGTTTAAGCAAAAACCTTCTTAGACCACAAGTGACAGATGCAGCTTTTTCCACCATATGTCCATCAAAATTTGCAGGGTATTTTTATTCTAAGATCTTAGACTCACTGATTCACACGGATTGCTTATATACTGAAATACGTAAATCACATACTGTACATTTACAGTAGGAGTCTTAATAGTATTGGTCTTACTATTGCATCAACCAGATCTTTGTCAGAAATGTTTAAATAAATGAACTGTAATTCTTTGTTAAAGATAGGAGTTTTTCTTTACTGCATCCTTACCAAACTTAGTCTTTTCTAGGCTGTTTCATGTCTGTACAAACACAGTAATATTTATTCAGAAGAAAGGTTCAAGGAGATTATCAGCCCATCTACATTGTTTGATAGTAGCTAATTGATTGCTTTTTGGACTATTTGTATCTGACTTTATTTAAAAGCTACACTTTTGTAGCTACGTTTACAGTGGACAGTGACTGGGTGAGTTTGTCCATTCTACTTTAAAATTTCAGGATCGTGAAGCGCTTGAATCCTGCACTGTTTGACAGGAAACATCTGCAACTGAAAACAGAAGACATTTTAGCTCAAGCACCCAAAAACCACTCCAAGGTGAAGCTGGAAAGACAGTCAAGGGAAGTGATGGTTGTTTTTTTTTCCTCATCATGTAATACTGGACACTATAGCATGCCCATGGCAACTCACTTCACTTTAAAGCATGCCATCATGTCACTGAAGCTGGTATTCATTTACACATACAGTACTGTAGATTCCTGTATGAAATGAATGGCTCCTCTAACCGTCTACTGCGCACCTGCATTTGCCCTCTACTGCCCAGCTGCCACCTGATTTTTGTCTCTGAACAACAAGAGGGAGTGATGGTATATTCTTTCCCCGCATGAAGATTGATGCTGGAAAGGCAGGATAAGCTCACAAAGGCAGCCAAGATGGCAAGGTCCCTCAGAAGTGATGTAATGTGACACATATTCAGTATAACGATGCATTTTATCCCATATTAAACAGAAATGTAATTTAAATTAAGATAGGAGAACGTAACACAATAAGAGATTTTAAAGTTTTAGACATTATATATGGTAATTTATGTTTTAACACAAAATGTATATCTCCAAATATTAAGATACTATACTTATGATGTTCAAATGACCATAACATTTTTGCTATAAAGTTTAAATTCAGTCACATGAATGATTTCTATACTGCCATTCCTCAGCAAGTATATTGGGGCAAGCTTGTTGTGAAAGGTGCTATTTAAAAATAAATTGAATTGAATTTAATTTAATATTTACAGGGAAATACAGTATGTTCCTTCTATTCACATTCTCTCTTCTTCTATTTTATGATACAAAACAATTAAACATTTCCCTCTTGGTTAGAAAATTGCTGATGCTGATTTTCCAGTCCTAGAAGTTGAGATTTAACAGTGACAATGACCACACATTGAAAGAAAAATGACTTCACATTTCAGCAAGTAACTATTCACCTGTTTCGTGATCAAAAACTCTCAAGAGTTATTCCTGGCAGATGGGTGGCTTCTGCCAGAAAGGCAAATGGAATGAGGTTAGCCAAGTGGACAGAAATCTGGCACTTGACTAAGCAAGCTAACCTCTCTAACCTCAATGTGTGGCAAGAGAGATAAAATGTTTAAAGGCTTCAGACACAGAAGTGGCCATGAACCCATAACCTGTAAAAACTGTCAGATGCAGGAAGAATTAAAATAAATACACCATACTGTATGTGTACATATTAATTTTGGGAAGCATCTGTATATTGATGCACAAAATAAATAATATACTCATCTCTAGTGGGTTCAACTGATTTCATTTTAAAGAAATCAAATTACTGAATATATGAACAAAAATACAGATCAAGGAATATTTTCATTTACAGTACATGATAAATGACATAATGAGAATATTACAAATTAAGCAACAGGTATGACCCCCTTTACCATTAAATTGTCCTGGCAACCTTGGCTCATAGTCCCAGCAATGGTGCTGGCAATGGTTGCCTGGTTATGGTTGTCTTTTGTTGACAAAACCGACCAGTTAGTCTTACCAGCGCTTTGTATTACTGGACTCAGTTCAGGAGAAAAAGATGGCCTTGACAAGATTATGAAACAGTTTACCTAAAGTTGTCTCATGATAATCCTAGCCCTGTGTGATGTTGCAGTGTCCTGCTGGGCTAAAGGAGATTCCATCCCAAATGATTTGTATTCCATTATTCCACTGGTTAGCTTGAACACAACAACCACCATAATGCTTACCACAACATCTTCACACACTTTTTTTCCCCATTGAGTCTATCATTGATCAATAAAACACTTTCCCTCCTCAGTCTGCCATCTCCTAAAATCTTTAGCTACTGTATTTAAGAAAGTGATTTTATCTCTCAGCTATCAGCATGTTTATTTTTTCCTGAACAAGGAATCCCAAGAATGCAAAACATTATTATGGCAAATCACTGTTTTTCTGAAGATGCAACCAATTCAGTCTTATTAACAGAAAGATGTTATTGTAGTTCTTTGTTGAGTTTCTTGTGCTGTACACATTTTAGTCTAAAACAATCAAAGATCATGCACAAGGATTATATGAATGTGACATTCCTGGGTTTTTCTTGGTAACCTAAAGTCTTCCAGGACAAGTATGCTCATTGCTCCTCCTATCATACTGATATTAACTGGGTAATCTTTAGTACTCGAGCATGGCATGTTAACTGTTTACAATTAATCAAAACACTATTTGAATGGTTATTTAGAGTATGCAATTGAATGGCTATTTACAGAATACATATTCTGAATCAACTAACTTAACATACCATTTACACTCAACTCGTATATTCCTAATATTTCAACACCTGGTGGTTTCATAAGATCACATATGAGTTGAGCATTTTGCAATCACACAGAACTATATTACTCAAACAATGAAAAACCATATGTGCTTACTAATCACAACACAACTAATATTATGTGCCTAATCAGCTATGGATATGAATCTTACAGTGTTGCATTTTCATTGTGCATTAGCATACATCCAGGCATTGAGCCTTGCTTTCTTGATCATCTTAATTTTCCTCTACAAATACCACCAAATTGCTTCTATGTTACCGCATAGAAATAAAAAAGAAGACAATTGGGAATACAACGATATTGTATTGAGATATAAATCAATTTTACTAAAGTATTTTAAACAAAATGTACTCATAAAAATAACAAAACAAATTAAATAATAAGTGCCTTTTAGAAGTGTGAAACTGCTATAAAATCTCAAAAAAAGTTATTATTATTTTATTTTTTCAATCATATTTGTTGCCTCATCTACATTCCAAGAAATTATGTGACCTTAGTGTTTCCCTATCACTATTATTGGGATATTTGCCCCTTTGTTAGTATTTCAATTATTATATTTTACCTCTCTGATAACGGAAATGCTCATCAACTAAATCTATATTATGATTAAAAAATGAAAGGTAAATCTCCACTATCATGTTACCATTTAGATTGCATTGCCTTTTAGGTACTGACGCAATGGAAGGTTTACTTAAAAATGCATAAATGTAAAAATACAAGATAAAACATAAAACTTAAAAGCAACGTCTTCCTCCATTGTCTTCTAATCACCACGATGTCATTCATTCACTAATCGTCTTAGGAAGACATATCAAATTAATTCAATATTACAATATTACTGCACAGAAGAGTAACTTGGAAGTCTTGCCAACAATGTAGCAGTGCAATCCCTCTGGATTGCCTTAAATTTTTATTTCAATGAGATCAAAGCTAGAAACATAAGCCCTTTTGTTTCACACCAAATAACTGACAACTTTACGTAAAGCTTTAATTACTTTTTTAATAGAAGAGGTGGGCAGCTCAGTGCGATTGTTATAAAATTTAATAGATACAGAGAGGAAATACATTTTCAAGGTCACATCACTGTACACAGCAAAACAACTCCATCAACTTGAGCTCTTTGGAGAAAAACAATCTTGGGCTCAACAACATTCACCTGTTTTGACAGAGGGGTGTGGGGCTTGGAATCCATGAACTTGGAACAGTTACATCCCAGATGCTCTGGTGTAAAATGGAACTTTGGAGTTGGAGACGAACCAATTACTATCTGAAAAAACACCCCATTTCTTTTTACAGATGGGTCATCTTGCCTTTGTCTAGTTTTCATCTGGAGTCAAAGATAAATTGCGTGCTCCCCTGTTTGGGGATGAAGGATCCCTTTTTTCTTTCTAGCACTTAGTGTTTAGAGTTGCTTTCATCTGATTTACAGTTTAAAGTAACAAATAGTTCTAATCCTATATAAAGGTTAAATATAGTTCATAACAGTGTCGTTATTTGATTGAAAGAAAACAACAGCTAGATTAGCCAGAAATGTGGGAAAGAACAACCTAGTACTGGAAAGCAGCAGATGTTGTTGACAAACATGCCAGCTTTGAAGCTATGGAAGAAAAATCACAAGGAGCTCAAATCAGAGTGAATGCTGCTTTGGGAAAACTGGAGAAGGAGAGACGTTCTGGGTATAACACAAAGATGTCATCAGATCCAGCACAGGTTTCAGCAAAATGAAATCCTCAGGTAATGCCAAAGGATGTGGAAGAGAATAAGTGACTGAGCTTGGAAAAAGAGGATATTTCATATTGATTTTTCTTATTAAGTATCGCCACCCCTACTCAGCTCAATGAATGCTAAGAAGTGTCTGTCCTGCATGTTGCCATGTCTGCGTCGCCAAGGGTCAGACACCATCAGGTATTGCCTTCTGATTCTTTAAATGCAAAAAGTTAAATTGAAAAAAAAAAGTGAAAATTGAAGCAGTTTTCTATGACTCTACTTTTTTACTTCTACAAATGCATTGCACAAGGCCAGGGAAACAGATGGGACTGAGAAAGAAGATAGTGAAGAGAGGCCAAGCGCCATAGTACAGACTATAATGGGCC